ATCGTGCTTAAACTGATAGCGTTTAGTGTGAGACTATTCTCATTCGAACGGAATTGACTGCAGTTATCACAAGAACACTGAGAGTCAGATCCCAACATATTCTACAATTTGTGGAACTTAACTGCATAATGATGTGTGTGGCAGGATTTCTTCGCTGCCAGTACACAAATAAAAACTATGAACAACAGGGTTTCTTCGCTGTTGTTATGCAAATTTCACTTGATCAAGGTTTTAAAAGCTCCCATTTACATTTCAATCAGTCTACTGGCTGATTGTTCTTATGATCAAATCTGCATTAGGCAACGCATTGGATAGCTACTCTAACGGTTATAAACCTAAGGGACGTAGTTGAATGAAATTGGAATACGCAATGACTTCAATCTAGGATACAATCAAAATAAGGAATAAGGCCTATGATAAGAGGAGCATCGCTCAAATCTATCTTTATCGCGATGCAGGAAGATTTCTTCGTTCCAACAGGTGATTTTGATAATATTAAAATGTACTGTAAAGAGATTTCTTCGTCTTTAGAGAACAATTTTAATATTATGAACTGCAGTTTACTTTAACAATTAACAGTGACTAAATGTTAGACAAATAGAAGCTGTTAAAGGTGGCTTTTATCCAAAAGAGTGAGTTCGCGCTGCGACTTGTCTCACTCTAAGCGCGCATAATATAAAAACTATAAAAACACAAATGAGTTTGCTCACAAACCAAGTTTGAATGCGCCCGCGTTCCTCCACCAAAATCTGTAGTAAATCAGCTCAAAAGGGAAATATTTATGACTAATTATAACTGGTTATGATTAATAATAAATATTTAGATTAGATCTTCGAATTAACTGTAGCAGAATCAATATTACCATTACTTGATCTGTCCGTCCACCGAGCAGACAAAATAATCATTTATCAATTCAAAGAAAGATTATTTTCCTGGCCAAGGAAGAATAACTTTCCTTATTTATGCAGTGCTAGCAGTAATTTAGCAAATGTAGCAAGGGTTCGAACATTCATTGACTTCGAATTGTGAGCAGCAAACAGAGGCAATCGATCGTGAATATAAGGGATTTAATAAATGAAACTATATCTAACATATAACTAA